CTCTGGGCACATCTAGAAAATGGAGGTTATAATACCTGGAAGGGTAGTTATGAGCATGGCCATTTACAGACCTTAAAGTACTCTACAAATTTGAACTGTTATTTTTATTATCATCATCATTAGCTTTTACATCAGCAGGTATTGTTCCTCAATGTGCATAATTAGAGACTTCAGCGTAATAGGAGACCAAAGATGCTTTCCATTACAATGCTTCTCAGAAATAATTAGCTCCCATGATTATGCCACTTATTATTCAGAAGTCCAAGCTCTTAAAGAATAATAACAGTAGGGCGGATTACACCCTCTGTAAGCAATGACCAGCAAGAAAGCATTATTTCCAGAGGGGTCTTATGCACCAATTTGTTATCATAGTAATAATTAAGTGAACATTTCTATTTTGTTAAGAGTTCCCTTCAGAAATACCTCTAAAAGACTGCTTTTGAAACCCTCTGGTTCCTCATTGGATTTAATGGTCCTATTGAGGACCTCCTAGATAAATCATGGTTTTCTCAAGAAAGCATCATGTTGATATTTATGAAAAGAGTTTTGACCTGGATTTAGCTGACTTTGGTTCCCAGCTTCCCTGATCTTTCTTTTAGGCAGCCTTTGAGTTTTCAGTAATGATCAGTTATTGCTTAGGGACTCTTAAAATGGGAGGCTTGTAACGTGTTTTTGCATCTTAAAAGCTCTGCAGTTCTTTCAGGAGGGTATATTTGGCAAATGATGCTCTGCAGCATTAGGGAAATGAGTCTATGAGATAGCTCACTTCCATGTTCTTTTGCAAATGGAGAAAGATTGCTTTGTCATAAAACAAAAAATCCTCCAAGGGGGAGGAGAATAATAAAATCAAATTGTTTTATGGTTTGTCAGTCCAAGAAGCTTTTAAGCCATATCTCTATAAAGGAGAATGCTTTAATGGGGCATCAATGTTTGTTCTGTATTGGAAGTGCAGCAACATATTATAAAGGGTATGATTTAGGCCCCTAAGTTGGATCTCCTTAGGTAGAGATTTAGGTGTCTGAACTTTATTTGGAAGAACTATGTCAAGTGGATTTTTACCTTTGACCATTTCAATGCAACAAATATTTATTAAGTACCCGTGATGTACCAGTCACCATGCTAGGCATTGGGGATACAAAGGCAGAAATGAAACTTCAAGAAAGTTGCATTCTGCTGGAGGGATGTGGTGGGATACAACATAGAATCTTAGATTAAGAGATGGAAAGAACCTTAGAGGCCCTTCTAGTTCAACTCCCTCATTTTACAGATGAGGAAACTGAGCCACAGAGAACTTTTAAGTTCCTTCTCCAATGTCACGGAGATAACAAGTGATGGAGGTGGCATTTGAACCCAGGTCTTTTGACTCTACATCCAGCATTCTTATCCCTGTATTAGACCAACAATTTGATGAGGGGAGAGCATTAATGATAGAGGTTTGTAGGTGTGGCATGAGGGAAGACACCTTTGAATAGGTGAACTGACCCTTGAAGGAGGCTCAGGATGCTATGAGGCAGCGATGAAGGTGAATGCATGATAGGCATAGGGCAAAGTCTGAGAAAAGCCAGAAAGGTGCAAGATGAGGTGATAAGTTCAACAAACAATTAGTAAGTCAGTCTTGATAAAATGCAGTATGTGAGGAGAGTTAGATGAATTACAGGTGGAATGGCAGGGTGAAGCCAGGTTGTAGAGTTTCCTCATTACATGACAGATTGAGGAGTTTGCATTTTATCCCAGAGGTCATAGGAAACCACTTAAGGTTTCTGAGCAAAGGAATTCTGTAGTTAGACTTTGATATTTCTTACTGAAAAGATCCTAAGCAATGGCTTGCCCTGCTCCGCTAAAGGTTTTTTTTTTAAATAGATTTGGTTTCACTCTACTTGCCTAATCATTCTACTTAAAAGACTAAAATGGTAGTGGAAAGGGAAAAAAAAAGAGAAAAATCAGCTGTCATATTATGAACATAATTGATTGAATAAATAATGTTTTTTTAATTCCCAAGGCAAACCTGAGAGGCTTCACTTCTGTCAATTAGTGTTCTGTTCTGTAAATGGAGGCCTTCTTTATTTAGACGGATGGGCACAGTTCACCCATTTCTCATTTTCCGTGGAAGAAGCATGCTTTTTTTTTTTAAAAGAAAGATCATCTAAATTTAATTTAAAAAAAAGGATTTTGAAAAGTTTCTGTGAAATTAGTATTGTCTTTATTGAGCTTATAAAAGCACACATAGCTGTCTTTGTATAATTTTTTTGTTTTTAGGGGGGAAGTAGAGCAGGTAGAGGTTCCAAATTGGAACTGTCTAAAAGTTATAGGTCCTTACCTAAATAAGAACTGAGAGCATTTCTCCAGCACTGGAAATTTTACTTTATTCTCTCCCATTTCTTTTTGTTTTGGAAGGAAGCTGACCCAGGCTCTATGGGGTGTACAGTATGTCTTCAGCATTTATTTTAGAGAATCTCCCCAAATTCCTGGTGATATCTGTCACTTATTCAGCCAGAAGTTTCCATAAATGGCACTGCATCTTGCTAATAAAGTAATTAATATCCCTAGTGATGATCATATAAGTTGTCACATTGCCTTGTGGATTATCCAAGAAATTTGTTCAGTATTATGTCCAATTGAATTTCTTTGAATTTTCTGTATGATCCCTTGACTTTTCCGGAGTCTAGAGCACTGGAACAGAATAATCATTCAATCAGTAAGCATTTATCAAACATTAAGTATTATTACTCTATTTAAGGTGTAGTGCTAAGTGCTGGGGATTAAAATTTTTTTTTAAATGTCCCTGCCCTCAAGGCACTAGCATTCTATAGGAGAAAAGGCTCACTTTTTCTTTGCATTCCCCAGTGGCTGGTACAGTGCCTAGCATGAATGGATGTTTAACACTTGCTTGTTGATAGATTGATCTGTAAATCCTGGCCATCATCTCCCTAGCTTCCAGGACACCAAAATTAGAAAATTTCCTGGAGCATTTAATACTTTCATCCTTTAATTCCTGTTATCCTGATTGGTGGTTGCCTCAGGTGCCCACTACATCTTGTCAAGGCTCCAACTATGCTTCACTTCACTTCCAGGTCATCTCCTTACCACCGGAAAGCTACCTTGAATCACCCTTCACAACCTTCCTTCCTCCTCCTTCCCTCCTTAGAGCCATAATCATACCATCTGTCCTTGGTTCTAGGAGAGAGCCCTATGGTACCACTCAGCATCTGTTTAACTTTCCAAACCAAAATATCCCCACCTGGATACCACTCCCGTGTATCATTGCTTCCCTCTATAAGTATAAGAATATCTTGAAGACAGGGATTGCATTCATTTTTGTATTTGTATTTCCAGAACTCAGCACTTATTGTAGGTCTTGAGATGTTAGCTTGCTAAGTAATTTTTCATTCATTCAGTCTGTAGTTTCTTCCATCTGGGTCATGCCTTTTTAAACTTACCCTTAATTCTCCCAATAAAGGAAAGACATCTGGCCTTTCCTTCTTTTCTCTACATCTAGCCTTTGACTTCCTCAGGGCCTAATTTTAATTATATTATTGTTTCTACTTTTCTGTCTCTGACAAATATTTCCTGTGTGACCTAGACAAATCACTTAAAACTCCTAGTGCCCTAGACAATTCTCTTAAGATTTTAAGTTTCAGAGAAGGTGTGGTGGCTGCATTGGGAGGAATTTACTTCTCTGGGAATTCTCTCTATCAATGAAGTCACAGGTCTAGTCTCTATCTCTTCAGTTTATACTCTTTTTAGTTTCTCCTATGAGAGGTCCTTCTCTTACCCCACTGATTCATGGCCTTGTGATAACTGTGCCAAGAAAGAAGCAATGGTAGCCAGGTAGGCTGTTTCCATAGTTTACTCTCATCAATTGGACAGTGAAGTACAGCTCTGTTAGCATCTCCCATGATAGAATTTGTTTTCTCACTGATCTTCAGGTTTTTTTTCTCTCGGTATTCCTTGTTACATCATTCCTTCCTATCTAGTTCTAAGAGAAGAATATTATCTCATATGTAAAAGAGACTTTAGAAATCATCTAGTCTAATGTCCTCCTTTGCTGTAGAGGGAAACTGAGGCTCTGAGAAATGACTTCCCCTCAGGCTCCTGCTGCAGTTTGGGGCCTGAAACATAGTTTTTCTTATTCCTAGGACAAAGTTCTCTTTGCTTCAGACCCACATTAAGGTAGCTGTGTGGTCTTTGTGTTTTCCAGATCATGCCTCCTTAGGGAGGCAAGGTTAAGTGGGCGGAGATTTACAGTTTTGTTTTATAGTTAGATGTTTGCAACAGCTATAGGTAAAGGGAGGAAGAGGAGACATTTTCATTGTTTCTTTCCTTCATTAGTTCTTCCAGCCTCATTACCAGCTGTGTCAGAACTTCACTTCTTCCTTACTTCTGCTGCATAGGGTCCTTCTCTTTCTTTTCTTTTTTTTTTTTTTTTGCACAAGGCAATAGGGTAGAGTGACTTGCCCAAGGTCACACAGCTAGTAAGGCTATCTGAGGCCAGATTTGAACTCAGGTCTTCCTGAATCCAGGGCCAGTGCTCTATCCACTGCACCATCTAGCTACCCCAGTCCCTTTTTTTCCTTTAAGACACACCTTAAGCAACATATTACACATGTGACTTTTCCTGATCTCCCCCAACCTGCAGTGCTCTCCCTCCTGAACGACATTGAATTTACTTCATATTTGTTCATATTTTTCCACTTTATTTGTATGCTGCATATATTTCTATATGTACTTGTCTTCTCCATTAGAATGTAAGCTCCCTGTGGGTATGGATTGTTTCATTCTTAATACTTGTATCCACAGTGTTGAGCACCGTGGCTGTCAAATAGCTTGTTGATGGATTGGCAATTCTATATTTGTGGCATTATGATGAACTTAATTCTTTGAAATGGAAAACATGATTATATATTAATAGCCTTGGACCCTTGAAGGAAAAAGGTATGATAATTATGAAAGTATGTGCATATTAAATATGGCATACTGATCTTTCTTCCTTATTCTCACAGGGAATTAGAATAATGGAAACTCTTTTGAAAGAACAGTGTGGGACCCCTTTACCTGAATAAAGAATGATCAGTGAGTATCAAGAACAAAGTCTGGATCATTTTCTCTATCCATTTATAGTAAGTTTTGTTGACCCAGAGTTGTAGCTCTGTGCTCTGAAGCCCACCTCACATGTGTAGTATACGTGTTCAATATTTTTAGTTTGTATCGTTCTTACACAAAATTTAGGATCACAGCTGAATTTGATTGAATAGTGGACAACTTGCTATAGCTCTGCAGCTCTGAACGTGGCATGAACCTGCAAGAAAATTCTCAAGAAAGCAAAAGACCCACAGTGAACTGGGCCTCATGAACTTGCTAAGAATAATGAAGGGGGCTTTTAAAACTTTGTTTTGAGCAAGAAGGGGAATGAAAAAGGGGCTTTAGTTCTGTTACAACTTGTTAGTAGCTTTGATTACATTTTTGTTATAGGACAAATTTTTGTTTAAAATCGTTAGTCGCATCCATGGTCTTAAACTATTCCTCTTCTCATTTGTAACTGGTGAGGCCAGTACTCTTAAACCTACTCTTTATCTTATTGCCAAATAATATCACTTTCTACTCTTAAGTATGATGCCCATGTTCTGGGATGCTATATAGAGTTTTTAGTATTGTGCTATATAGAGTTTTTAGTATTGATGGGACTTTCGTACGTCTGATACTCATTTGAACAACCTGACCTACTCTTTAAGTGGGTATTGGAAAACTGGAAAGGCTGTTTCATCATGAGCCAAAATAAAGGTATATAAATCTCACCAAGCAATTTGTTTGTAGCATTGCTACTGACAAATCCATTTGACATGTTTTGGATTCCCTTTCAGTTTTGAATAAAACAAATAGTCCTGGCATCTGTTTGTTCATGCTTTTGACTGCTTGTTGGAATTTGATAACAGCAAAGTCCTATACTATCACTATGATTAAGATCTCAATTTGAGTTATCTCTTATTCCTCATTTAGCTATTACTATTGGGAAGGTAGACTCAAAAGGAGGTGCTGACTTTATTCTAAGATCATTACTCCACAGAAATGTAATTTCTTCCAGAATGGCCCATTGTCGTAGAATTCAAATGACTCTTTTGAGTTGCTACAGAAAAAAAAAGAGCAAGTAAATATTGATTAGAAGTGTGGATTTATTAGATGATAAAGCTTGCTTTCTTTGCCTTATAAGGGGGAGTTGAGTCCATGTCTTCAGTTCCAAGAGAACAATGCCTTTGTTGCCACTGCATTTCCAAAACCTTTGGATATTCCAGCCACAGAGTGAGGAGGGCTCAAGGATACAACATGGATGGCTTGAAGAAAAGGCACTAGCCTTCTACAAGTATTTAAAAAGATATACTCTTCTGGAAGTACAGTTCTTTTTCCATTTGTTAAAGAAAATGCAACTCTTGGGGATAAGTTCTTCAATTTGAATTTTATTTGAATTTTACTTTGAAAATGAAAAAGATAATGTTTAGGATAATTTTTGTTAATTAGTGATTCCTTAGAATTATTTCTATAATTCTCTTATGCCATAAAGCGACAAGAATTGTTTAAGAAGACTAAATAGTGATCTTCCATGTGCGTGGAGCATGACATCACCATAGCCATAGGATCACGTGGATTAGTAAATTTAAGGGATTGTATTTTGAACCCGAGATGGTCTGTGGTAGTCATGCTGTTGGATTATGTTGAAAACAAATTACCTTTATAGTGCATACATTATGATGGCTTGATATCCTTTTCATAACCCTGAAAAGAAGCACATTTGCCATCTTTCCTATAACAACCAGTTTAGATTCTGATATTCTAGCTAAATCTGTGCCGTTTAGGTTGGATATTAGGAGACTTAAGTTTTAGTCTTGATTGACTCAGGTCACTTAACTAATGTTAATTTTCTTATCTGTTAAATGGGATAAGACTTGCCCTACCAACCTGATTGGGTTGTTGGGAAGGAGTGAAAGAGGCAAGCATTTATGAAGTGTCTAATATATGTCAGATAATGCTAAGAACTTTATCTTGTTTTAGCTTCACAACAACCCTGGAAGGTAGGTGTTATTATTATCCCCATTTTATAGATGAAGAAGCTGAGGCAAACAAAGGTTAAATGACTTGCTCAGGGTCACACAGTTAGGATATACCTGAGGCTGGAAATGAATTTAGGTCTTCCTGACCTGATGGGCTCAGTGCTCTCTCTGCTGTGCCACCTAGATAAAGTCAGATAATAGATGTGAAAGCACTTTGAAAAGATGAAGGCAATACAATTATTTCTTAAAAACCATAGTCCAGTACTGCTTTATCCTCTGAGAGGAAGACAAAATAAGCAAAACATAAATGAAGCATGTTGGTGGTGTTCCTAACCAAACATTTGGGAGGTAATAACTTTGAAGTCACCTTAGGATAGGGAAATCGGACCATCATTGATAAGTTTCAGAATATTATTCTTTATTTTAATATTCAAACCTTCATTTGACTTCACCCACCAATAGATTTTAAAGTTATTGTACTTTTTGTGGCAAGCTTTCAATTGTGAACTTTTATTTCTTATGTTTTTGTTGCTTGATTTGTGTTTTTAAGATATGTTCCCTTTGTTTTCTTGCTATATCATTCAGCAGTTGTACTGGGAGGAAGATATGAAGGCCAGAACCTAGAAGTTACTTTGGCTTTTCCATCAATATGTAGTACCTGGACTTTTCAAATGACAGCCTACTTCCAAAAATAAGTGTGATAATATTGCTATTTCAGTGAAGTTGTTTCTAATTTGCTTCTTTTACTGAAGAACTTAGGGTCATTTACAGAGATTATCTTACTCTCTTTTATATGACCACTTTGAAGAAGTTAAGGATCTTTAGTATTATGTCCATCTTAAAGATGAAAAAAAATACAACCTAAAGCACAGAGATGCAGAATTTCCTTCATAATTGAATTGCTTCAGGAGTTTAAAGGTCAGCCAAAAAACCATTAGTCACTAATAGTCCTTTGCAGAGTTGCTTCTTCTAATTTGCTGGATTTCATCCGTAGATGCACTCTCTCCTCAAAGGTCACCTTTATAGTAAGGTACATCTCTTAGATTTGTGATAATCATTTTTGCCTGCTCATTTTATTTTTGCAGGTATTGGCAGCTTTGTGTGTCAAATCTGTTTTGATATCCCATTTATTTTCTATTGACTATGGCTTATAATTTGTTTTAATTCTCTATACCTGTCATTGTCATGTGATCAGACATCTGAAAGTCCCTATTTGGCTGCCCTGTTTTCCCCCCATCTCAAAACTGAGATGAAGGTATAATTTGTAAAAAATAGGAATAGTTTGGGAAGGTGTTACTTCTCAATAGCTGGCTTTAGTAAACTTTAATCTAGTTTCGGTGAGTTTAGGTCACCAAACAGCAAACTAAAAAATAAACATAAAAGACATCTTAGCTAACCTATTCAGCTATATAATGCACATTTCCAGTTGTTTTTGAAGGCTTTGTAATTGGTTTAACTTACTGGCCAATAAAGTTTTTACTTCGAAATATGGAAAATCCCAATTATGAGGAAAGATGATTTAAGATTTTGCCTTACAGTTGCCTGTTAGCGTTTCACCTTAGTAATGTTTTATCTATTCAATCATATACTGATGAAAGGTGCTGTATTTTAATATAAACTGTATCATGTGTTTTATATTCAGTGACACCGTATTTATCTGACACCTCGGTAGATTGAGGTGATCCACATAAATGAATTTTATAGATAACCAAAGCTTGCCATCTTAAATAGCAATCTTTTAAAAATTTCTGATGGAAATCTTGCCAAAATGTGTGACATGCTTCTTAAATAGTGTTCTACACATAGTTTTAACATCTTCCTGCTGGTCAGTGTCATGAATATCAATTATTGTACTATTCTGTAATTCAATGAAATCCTGAGGCTACTATCATGGTATATTAAAGAGTTTACCTCTACACTAAATAACCCTGGATTGAAATATTTTTTTAAACTTAACTTGTTTTTTAATACACACACACACACACACACACACACACACACACATACACACACACACACATTCTAGAATTTACGGTCAGCTGTCAGTTCTTAGTTCCATTTCTAATATGCAGGAGCCGTTAACCTAGATAAATAAGAATGCTAGAATCTTATATAAAATAAGAGCCAATGCTTTATAATGTACTGACATGCTACCCTATGAACATAAGTATATGGACATCATGGCTGGTTTTTTTTTTGTGTGTGTATGTATGTTGTTGTTGCCAAGAGACCTTTCTTCGTTGTCTTCTTGGTTCTTTTCTATGATGGGCATGTATGATTTAGGATCATATAATAATAAATTTTGAGCTGGAACAGATCTCAGATGATGAACTAGGTGCTATCTAGTTTATCCCTGAGAGATTAAGTGACTTAACCAACATCATACATGTGAGGTAATGACTATATAAGTGACTTTCAGATAAGTGTGATATTCTGTAAGTTTGTTAATTAAATCCATTAAACTATTGTTCAATTGTTTTCTTTAAATGTTTTTAAATACATTTAATAATGTATGGATTAAAATTAAACAGAATATTTCTCATACCAAGCCCATTATTTATGTAGTTAGAAGATGCCTGATAAGGTATTTTGATTCAGTGTTACTGTGATTTAAGGGGGAGAAGGCAAATCTATTTAATTCTCTGTGTAACATCCTTGAAAGGAATAGTTAATAGTATTGCTGTCACTATGAAATAAAGGTGTTTCAACTACTATTTGTGACTTTAATCTTATTTCTTTGGGTATCAAGCCAATTAGCATGGATTTTGGCCTTTATCTGCTAAGTTTCCCTTTCACATTGTAAAGATGAGTTAGCTACCATGTTCTAATTCCCAGAATTTTCATAGAGAAGGATGTACCAAGCCAAACTGTGTTTTCACTCTAACCCTTAGGACACTAGAGGGCTCTGCTACTCCCTAGAAGTTCAACTCAGATCTGGACCTGTCTGGTCTACTAATGGGTCTAGGAGGTCCTTTCCTACTTGTAAGAGTTTTGAAGCATATGTAACAAGTATTCATACGCCTCTGTAGTAAACCAGGTCCATTTCTGACTAGTAAGGGGCTAACCAAAGCTAAAACAAAACAAAGCAAAGCAAAAACCTCTCAGCAGTTGATTCAGGATTATCCCTTCCTTGGTCTACTGATTAGTACATAAGCCTTTGAACTTTCTTGATTTTATACTGTGGTATTAAAGATTGATTCAAATCAAGAATTAACTGAACCTTTACCAGCGTTACTACCAATGGGAGTGTAAATTATATGGTCCTTTGGGGTTAGGTTCTAAGTCCCCGGTTTCTTTAAATTTGGCATTGATTATCATAAACTCAGCTTTATACGCTTGAATCAGTGACCTTTGATTACATAGTACTATGGAGCTGGATTATTTTGTTTTCATTGACAATCCAAAACGTAATGACTGTATTGGTCAGTCAACAAACATTAAACATTATGTACATACTTTGTGCCAGGCACAGTGTTAAATGCACAGTGTCTGAAGAGATTTTGTTTTTTCATTTGGCAACTGTTAAGCACCTACTTTGTTCAACACACTGTGTTAGGTGCTTTATCTTTGTTTCTTTTTGTGTTTTTATTTCTATTTCTTAACATTCAAACTCCTCAGAACTTATATTTATTTTGATGGTTCTAGGAAACAAAGTGGGACAATAAAGCAATTTTTATAAAAGTCAATCTAAAATTGCAAGCTAAATGTGAAAAAACAAGTTAAGGCAGATTAGAAGAGCAAAAGCTAAACATTATTATCTCTATTGCCCTCGGAGGTTAATGCTTGAAGACTTAAAAGGAAAGATAACCATATGTTCAAAGTATTTTATGGATCTGTATTTGCTCAAAACTATTGTTTATGAGCCCCCATCAGTTTATTTATCTTTTTTGGTAGAACTATTTCAAAGTAAAAGCATTTAATGAAATAGCATAATAAGAAAAGTAGCAAAACCAGGGCATTTCCCCCTTAAACATAGAGGGCACACTTTATCACAGTATGCACACCACCAGTGGGAAGAGTGAACATCCAAGGAACATTTGTGGGGAGGCATGTGGAGAATACATTTGGCCAAGGTATATACAGTGGACAACTGATGCTACAGGACTACCATTTCTTGTCAGCTCATTGCTCCCACAGCATCTACTTTCTAGTGTTATGTGATATTCATTCCCCACCAGGAATTAGATAATGGCATGTAGTCGCTGTTGGTGTTGCTCCATTCAAGTCTTATAGGGTACTGTTAGATGGTACTCCATTGGTTTTAGGGCTACTGTAGGTTGTTTCTAGGTGGGGTGTCTTTCCACTTCCTGTTTCTGGCTTCAAATTAGAATCCTTAGCTAAGATGCTACCTTTTCCTTCCAAAAAGGGATACTAGACTCTGCTATCTCTCTTTTAATTGAATACTTACATGTTTAAGCTACAGTTCTTTTTTAGAAGGGTAAGGTCTTTATACACTCAGTTATTGGACTAGAGGTAAAAGGGAAAAAAACCCCTTAGCTTTTTGGCTTTTCCTCCCTCATAAAAAGTATAACGGTTCTCAGAGCCTTGCTTATAATAAGCATTTACTCTCTGAAAGCAGATCCCATGTTCTGGAACCAAGATTTTTGGAACATGTTCCCTCCTCCCCACCCTGGCGCCCCAATAGCTAAAGAGTTTCTATAAGCTTTAAGTCCATTTTTCAAAACCTCCATATCCTGTTCACTAAGGATAGTGTCTCTGTCCAAAGCCTTTATTTTACTTATGGTTAGAAACTCTTGGGAGTTCCCTGTTTAATATATAATTACTAAGTTGTACCCAGTCAGCATCAGTATAGGGTATGCCCCTCCAACAAAATACAAAGGCTACTGGGTCTAAAGACACCATATTTTTCTTAACTTCAAATTCTTTTTGTCTTTCCTTCAATTAAAAGGGAGAGAATGAGAAGGATAGGGAGGAAGGGAGGTGGAAAGGGAAGAGAGAGAGGGAGAGAGAGAGACAGCAGGATTCATGCCTTTGTTTTTATTGTTATATATAATTGGCAAAACATTTTCAAGGCTTTGAACCCATTCTACAGTCTTCCCTTAGT